CTTGCTTAGTTGACAAGACTGGCCTTGAACTTTCAATCTTCTTGCCTCAGTCTCCTCAGTCACTAGGATTACAAATGTGTGCCACTTCACTGGTGCAAGCCTATGGCACTACTAGGAGGTGGTGAAACCTCTCAAAAGGTGAGGCCTAGTGGAAGGAAGTTAGGTCACTGAGGTTGTGCCCTAGAAGGAAATATTGGGATAAGGTCTCTTTCTCTCTCTCTCTTCCTAGTCACCATAAAATTAACAGGTTTCCTCCACCCAGGTTCTTCTACCTTGTCACAAACCCAAAGCAAAATCACCAAGCAAACACGGACTGAAACCTCTGAAACCATGAACCAAAAATAAACTTTTGCTCCCTTTGAGTTGATTTTTCTCAGGTATATTATCACAGTGATAAAAAGCTAAGACAGAGACCTCTATGATTCAGTCCCTGCCCACCTCATCAGCTTTATCCCCCAATACTTGCCACCTTACCAATGCATGTATTCCAGCTCAACTAAAGGGCTTGTAGCTCCACTTACACCCCAGACTGCTTCTACTTTTGTTTATGCTGTCCCTTTTGCTTGGAATTCTCTATTCTGATGCATGTTCTATCTTCCCTCCCCCAGTAAATGGCCTTCAAATCTCAACTTAGGGGCTGGTGGTGTGGTGTGGCTCAGTGATAGAGCATCTGCTTATCATATACAAGGATCCAGGTTCAATTCCTTGTACTGAAAACAAACAAAAAACATGAATGGGGGTTGGGGATGTGGCTCAGTGATACCAGTGCATGTCTGGCATCTTCAGCACTGCAAAACAAACAAAAAACAAAACTCAAATCAGGAGTTACATCATCCCCGAAGCCTTTCGGGCTTCTCAGACTGGATTGGATCTCCTTTCTTATGCTCTCCTACCACTCTGCACTTATCTGTAATATACTATTTATCCCAGTGTGATGTACTTGGGTTTCCATCTGTACTAAATCACATAGTCCGTGAAGATAAAGCCCTCCAATGGCATGCACAAGGCCTGATACAAAAGAGGCTTTGATGATCCACTGTAGAACTGAACCATTGATATTTAACTAACACAGATGATACTCTGGCATCTTCTAACAACTTTGTTTCTTAGATTTGGTTTTATCTCCTCTACAGTTTAAGGCCCACCACCCCTACTGACTTAGATCTCTCTATGTGCTTCAAATACCACCTTCCTCATGAAGCCAACACAATTTCCTGCCTCAGTTTAAAATAATCTCTCCAATTCCTTTAAAGCCTATTTTATCTGAAATTTTTAAAAGTGAGATTATAGGCCTTGTTGGGCAAATTTTCCTGGGAAAAATTAAAACTGCACTCACTGATCACCTGAGTGTCAAACTTTAAGACTTTTGCCAGTAAATGGATGAATTCAGAGACTGTCATACTAAGTGAAAAAAACTAATCCCAAAGAACATTCTCTCTGATTTGTGGATTTTAACACACAACTGGGGAGAGGGGTGGAGGAGAAGAATAGAAGTTGAGTGGATTAGACAAAGGGGAATGAAAGGAAGGGAGGGGGTAGGAATAGGAAAGCCAGTGAAATGAATCAGACATAACTTTCCTATGTTCATATATGAATATACCACCATTGAAACTCCACATCATGTACAACCACAAGAATGGGATCCTAATTAGAATAAGTTATACTCCATTTATTTATGTCAAAAATACTCTAGTGTCATTTATATCTAACAAATAAGAAGAGCTTAAAAATTAAAAATAAACTGTATGATACCCTTCCCCAAATAACACTAGCTACTACTTCCCAGTAATCCTGTAAGGTAATGATTATTATCTTCATTTTACAGACAATGAGACTGAGCTGATGAAGGCATCAGCTCAAGGTCACAGGTGGCAGAGTTGGAACTGAAACATTGGTTTTCTAAACTTCTAGGAACATTCCCTTCCACCACAGCCCATTGTCTCCAACCTGGGCCAGGTTCTAAGAAACTTCTAGAAGGAGGGTGCAATAAGCAGTAGGATTACATGGAATGCCATTAAGCAGGAGGGGATGATGAAAATAGGACTTTAGGGGAGATACTCCTGAAAAGTTGTAAATGATAGAATGGAATGGAATGTGGGGAAGGTTGGATTCCTGAAAAAGAAAATATACAAAAATGGGTACTCTCTCTTACCACAATCATTGATGAATTCTGACATTGATGTGGTCTTGTGGAAAAGAAGGCTCAGGAATGTGAACTGAGTTACAAAGCTGAGAAGGTAATAGAAGAGTCCATATCCTGTCTCTTGGGTAGAGTAGCCAATCCTCTGGTTCCGTCTCTTGGAAAGTCTGGGATATCTGTCCTTTATGGAATTTAGAAGTCCAGGAAAAGCTTAGTGTCAACTGGACAGTGGGTAAAGGCTTCCTTAGGGAAATGGCATTTGATGAGAGACATAAGGTGAGAACTACTCTGTCTCTCCTACAATAACTTCCTCACTGGCCTCCTTGCTTCAGTTGTAACCCCCTCCTAACACACTTAAAGAGATCCTTTTTAAAAACAAGTTGTATGGTGCTACTTTCTGCTTAAGGCCTTTTAATGGTTGTTATTCATGGGTAAAGTCAGATCCTCTGACAAATATCAAAATTATTGATCCTCCATTATCTGAGGTTTTAAGTATTATGGCTAAAAACTAATCAAGTGTGATTATATGCCTTTTTAAACTACATATTTCCTCTCAGAGATTCTGCTTATGTACCCTCACCCTGGTTAAAAAAATCACAGCTGTAGTTATACTACATTGCTTGCAATTATACACAACCCTTCCATTTATTTTTAAAATTAAGACCCCAAAAGTAATTCAGCTTCTATGGTTTAGATGTGGTTTGTCCCTGCCCAAATTCATGTTGATTTTGTGTGTGTGTGTGTGTGTGTGGTGCTGAGGATTAAATCCAGGACCTTTTGTATGCAAGGCAAGCACTCGGTATACCAAGTGAGCTATTTCCCCAGCCCTTCATGTTGAAATTTGATTGCCAATGTAGGGGTGTTGAGAGGTAGGGCCTTTGGAAGGTGATTAGGTCATGAGGGCAATACCCTCACAAATGGATTAGTGTCTTTCTCAAGAGACTGGGACAGTTCTCGAGCATGTTATAAAGCAAGCCTGGCACTGCCCCTTACTCTCACACACATGCTCCTCTTGCACTTGCTAGTTCTCTTCTGCTTTTTCTACCATGAAGCGAAAGAGCATATTGCCTTGGCCAGATGGTCCAGTGCTCTCACGTTTGCTAGCCTCCAGAACCACGGGCCAAAATACACTTCTTTTCTTTGTAAATTACTCAGTCTCAGATATTTTCTTACAGCTATGTAAAATGGATGAAGACACTCCCCAAAATTACTTGGTTAGTCATTGAGAAAGAGCTCTTAGCAAGTCCTATACACATTTCCATTCTGTTTTGGCAGAAGTCAAGGGCCTTGTTCCTCTCCCAATTTTTAGACAGAAGCCTCTGATGTGCTGGTACCTACCTGAACTGACAATAAGGAACTGAGACTATAAGCTTATTCTCTAACCTGAGGCTGGTGAAAGTGATTTTTGCCCTTGAGAAGGTGGGAGTTGATGACAAACAGAATCCAGCCCACCATTCCTACAAAATCTCTGAAATTCTTCCTCTGTTCTGTTGCCTCTATCAAAAGATACAGTTCCCTATATGACAGACATGAACTTTTTCTATCTAAAGTATTTAATGCTGAGACTCAAAATTGTGAGAACTAGAAGAGGTCATTTAGTCAGTAAATGCCAACCCCAGAGAGCATCACCCAGACTCACAAAAGTAAAATCTCTAGGAGAAAGAAATCTTGAGTGACTTCAAACTCCTTATTTTACAGATGACCCACACACAGTAAGAAGCCTGTCCTAAAAGGTAATGAAGCCTGTCCCTAAAAGGTAGTGAATTTGAAACAAAGTTTCTAATATTATACTGGTGGCTCTGGCTCAGGACACAACTCTCAATGCTGCTCCTTGCACACAAGTGCTTAATAAATATCTATTGGGTTATTGAGCCTCAAACAATTTTTTTTTTTCACACAGTGAAGGGGAAAGACCTTGATTTTTGGAATTGGGCAGATACTGCTGTGGAAGACCACTGGAAAGTTTGTCTTCATAACTAAAAAACAGGGATAATTACTTCATAGGGTTATCAGTGATGATTAAATGAGATATACTAAGTAAAATGTCTAACCCATGCCTATCACCCAAAAGGCACTTAATAAAGGGTTGGGGTTATCAGTGAGAAGCCGAAGAACAAAGTGATAAGAACAGATTCTAGAAGCAGAACTTACTATATGTGTGATGATAGAAAGTTACTTTACCTGTTTCCTCATTGGTAGGATAAGGCTGTTAGCGAAGATGAAACAACACTCTCTCTC